GGTCCAGGGGGGCGCAGGGCAGGAGAGCCAGGACATGCCCCCTGTGACTACCTGAAGTTTAAAGGTATGTTGTCACATGGTTGTGATGCTTCAAGATGAACTTTGACCTTTAGGCACAGACAGGAGAAAATCCAGGAAAGTCTCTGAGTCCATCAGGTTGTACAGCAGTTTTCCCACGTTCATGTCAGACCTGAGACGTTTCAGAGGAGTTCTGAAAAGGTGGACAAGCAGCATTCAGTCCTACAGGCAGGATCACCGGCTTACAGGACAGAGGTCACCAGTCACAACACGGACACAAACAGGACAAACGACAAAGCACTCCCACACACAAACTTTCTTTGTAATTCAAGTTTTTATTAAGTTTTAAAACATAAAAAAACAATAACAAACATAACATAAATATAAAATAAACATAAAATACAGTGAGGGGCAAAAACATAATTAATACAAAAAAAAATAGGTCGACAGAGTGAAGACTGTCCCATTGTCCCATTACCACCTGCTGCGTTTTCAATTTGTCTTTCTCTCCACAGTTTAAAGGTCGGGGTCCGAGCTTCTTTCCAAAGCATTAAAATCAAACCAACACGTCACAAATTCAGTGTTTAATACCTTGAAAGCTGTTTTGTCCAAATGTGGAACCTCACCTATTCCTCCCAACAGAACAGACAAAGTCTCTGTGATTCAGGTCATTTAAACTTCAGCCAGCCCCCATAAATGATAACACACTGCTCCAGATTGGAGAAACTCATGGACATTCCCTTAAAGCATGCAGGAGAGTACCCTTTATTTTTGGACATTTCCAACATAAGTCATCTTTACCTTTGCCCATTTTTAAAGTCTACATAGAGTGAGATAGTATCTGTTAAGAATTTTATATTGAATAAATGTGTTTTTGGCCTCCCTGATGCATAACCCATTATGAGAAATAATTGAGTCCCAGTACAATCAAGATCTCTTTCTCATATTATTTTGAGCAGGGCCGTGCAGAGACCTTTGGAGGGGCAGGAGCTCAAAGTTAACAAGGGGCACATTGAAGAAGATCTTAAAACACCGTACAACAACATGGCAACAACCCATATTAATCAAGAATTTAATTGGATCCTACTATATCACTGCCATCATGTGGGGACAATGCAAAGCAAATGTAGTCTATTTTCCCCAACAGGCGTAATGTTACTGTTTCTGCTGCTGACAGAGCTGGAGGGTCAAAGGTTATGAAATAAGCAAATTTGCTGGCATTTTACTAATTAAGCCCTAATAATATCTATTTAACCGCTACAACAACTTGGCTGCAGACTGCTTTATAGATCAAAAACACTCAGAGGGGTTAACTCTACATATTTATTCTATGTTAGCACCTCAGTGATCTAGAATTGTAAGACTGGGATATCAAGGCAAAGAAAACTCAGTAGCTGCTGGTAGGGGCCAGTCAGGGGCCCCTAGAAATGGTTGAATTGTAACACAGACCATAGATCTAAAGTAGTAGCATTCATTTATAGAGAATGACAATGTTATTACATTTTATTTACTGCATCATGTTGAGAAAAAAAAATTGTAGGATTTAATTAGGAAGTTTACTTTGTAAAAAGTTTAAAGAATCATCTTGATGGTGTGTTACCATGGCTACAATATGGTGTAATCTTCGTGTTTGAGCTGGTTTGTTCACAAATACATCACAGCAAATAACCAATAATCAGTGACTGATTTTAAATTCGGCCAATGAACCTGGTCTCCCTCT